GTGTGTGTGTGTGTGCGCGTGCGTGCGTGCGTGCGTGCGTGCGTGCGTGTGTGTGTGTGTGTGTGTGTGTGTGTGTACAGTGTGTGTGGTTGTCTGTTGTCGTACCTGTGCGCCTCCTCTCCGCTCCAGAGCTGTTCCTGGTCAGCCGTGTGCTCCTGCTGCTCTTACTCCTGCTGGGGTAGCGACGACCTGAAAACTGAGAGGACATATGTCCATCCTCTCCAGCCGCACTGTCCTCCTCCTCCTCTTCCTCCTCCTCCTCTTCACTATCGCTCTCTGCAGCAGCAGAAATCCACAAACACAACCTCAGCAGGGTATATGCAGGAATCCTAAAGTCAAATGTAAGACCTTTTCCATACATTTTAAGACCTCATCGCCACTTTGAGTTCTAACTGGTTACCTTGGCGACACACTTGACCTCACATTGACTATATACAGTATTGATTGTCCTTCCTCCTTATCTTCCAACCATTTGGACTCAAACTTGCATTTCCCCATAACGATGTTGTTTAACAACCGGCGTAAACGGACCTTCGCACGCTATCAAGCAGTGAGCTTTTTATGGCAAAAATCATAATCTCGATTATTTGGGTCAATAATTGATATCACGATAATTAAAAACGATTATCCATTTATTTTGAAAACATCCATTTATTGGAGAAAAAAAATTTGAACAGTATGTTTTTAACAGTTGATTACCCTGAACTTTAAGTATAATTCAACTGAAGTAATACAAAAAAGTAATAATAATAAAAAATAATCGTTTTATTTCGATTACGTTGTTTTCGTAATCGTTGCCAGCCATAATCGTAATCTGTTTTCTCTGATTATTGGAAGAAGACAACAGAGAAAATGAAAAGCAAGAAGAGGAGGAGAAGAAGAACAAGAAGGAGACCCTCTCTTGCCGTCAGTATTTTAAACCGAACTGACCTTTTTTCCTCTGCTTGGCGCGGTTGCTTCTCGTAACTCTGGCTTTGTGTCTGAGTCGATGGTGCCTCGAGGAGCCAGGGCGTTTCTCCTCCTCCGAATCACTCGGCTCGCTCTCACTGTCAGACTCTGAAACAAATGAAAACGACACGTAATGAATTAGGGTAATCCAGAGTTGCTTTAAAGTTTCTGCCAGAAGAAAGCAAGATGTGGACACGGGCCCTAAGCTGCAGAGCTGTTGTCGTACCTGGTGTAGATGAAGCACCTTTGGAGTCGTCGGAGGAGCTCCTCCTTCGACTCCTCCTGGCTCGATCTGGAACACCCACTTTGGCTGAGGTAGATTTGGTCGCTGACGCAGACTCCACTTTTTCCTGAGTTTTAGCTGCAGCTCTCTTTTGACTGGAAAACAATAGGAATAACCATCAAGGCCTGGACTGACTTCAGACACCTGAACCGTTTCCTGTCAGATTATTGGTTTAGCATTTACATTAGCTGAATAAACGCGTAACTCAAACCGACCTGGACGTGGACTGATCGTGCGGCTGCATTTTCTTGCGGCAGCGCTGACTGCGGCGGAGCCTGTCGCTGCTCTTGATGGCCGTTTTGTACTCGGATGTGATCGCTCTGATCTGCTCCTCGAAGAAGGCCAAGAGCCGCAGGGTCATACTGTAAATCTAGAAGAAGACAAAAGGGACAGGTCAGATAAGTTTACAGGATACAGTTCTGATTTCAAATAGGATGGTGAATTGTATCTTTGTTTCTCCATTACATATTCAGCTTATTACATATTGTGCTTCGGGTTAACCCTTAGAAGCATAAGTGGGTCTTTTCTGACCCGGTGAGGTGGTTTTCTTGAAGTATTTTTGTAATTTAAAAAATTTATCATTTCATATTCCAGCTATCCCTCAATACCCTTTGGATATCATGCCATTCAATTTTAAATGTACATTTTAAGAAATTGTAGTTTTTGTATTTCTACCCCAAGCTTCCNTTGCACGACAGATCGAGCCAATGAATCCAAAACCATGCAGTTACTACTGTGACCACAGAGGTATGCTCTAAGAACATAGTTACATCCAAACTAGGATCTCAGATCCTAGTTTGGATGTAACTATGTTCTTAGAGCATACCTCTGTGGTCACAGTAGTAACTGCATGGTTTTGGATTCATTGGCTCGATCTGTCGTGCAAAAAAACTATAATAATAGATTTAATAATAATAGATTTATTTTGTTAGCGGTTTTACAGGTGCTCAAAGACGCTTTACAGATACAGTGTTACGGCCCGTCCACACACAGGCATGAAAAAAATCTTGAAAAATCTTGATGCTGGGCGTGTCTGAAGCTTGGCGATTTCATGCGACCAACAACTAATCAGGAATCTCCCAGGAATCTCCCGCCCGCCGCCGGCACACAAAGCATTCAATGTTAAAACGAAGTAAACTGGATATAAACTCCCCAAACAGGTGAAAACCTACCAGTTTCACCAACTGTCTCTGGCACCTCCCTCCATGCCTGGTTCCTCCGGTTTAGGTCCCGGTAGGTGAACAGAGAGCAGTCGTAAAGGACCGGGACATTTCCTGCAGCGATGATTAATTTATCCTCCATTTTATGACATATGGAAAAGACCGCAGCGGTATCTGCATACAGTACACGCGGTTTGATTGACGAGCGCTTGCACTGGCGGGATTTGCATAAACGGGATTTGATTTGCTGATGCCAGCTTCGCAAGCATTGGGAGCATCAAAAGTTGAACATTGCT